TTTGTTTGTCAGGGGTATGCTATTAGCGAGTAGTAATTAGAAGCACAGGATGCTGCTAGACATCCYAYAATGCACAGGAGAATCCCATAGCAAACAATCACCAGCTTCAGGTTAAAAACCCAACCATAGCTGGGCCTGGTGGCGCACGCTTGTAATCCCAGCGGCTTGGGTGGCTGAGGCAGGAGGATTCCAAGTTCAAAGCCAGCCTCAGCCATTTAGCGAGGCCTTATGTAACTCAGCAAGACCCTGCCTCTAAATAAAATATTTAAAAAGGGCTGGAGATGTGGCTCAGTGATTAAGCACCCCTGCATTCAATCCCTGGTACCAAAAACAAAACAAAACCATAAAAACCTAGCCATAAAATAGGCATGCTAGCACACACTGGTGATCCCTGTGACTTAGGAGGCTGAGGCAGATGGATCACAAGTTCTAGGCCAGCCTCAGTTAACTTAGGGAGACCCTGTCTCAAAATAAAAAGGGCTAAGAGTGTGGCTCAGTGGTTAAGAAAGAAAGAAAAAGAAACACTGCCATAAACTATAGTCCTCCCTAGCCATTTGGCACCTATTGATCTCCTAAGGACCTTCCCTGACATAGGTGCCAGGAAGACTAGGAACTGAAGCCCCCTTGCCCCATGGGCCACTTTATTTCATGAGTTTTTCAAGTGGGGGATTCTGGTTAGTCCTTTCCACAGGGACTAACCATGGTGGTGGTAGAAGTGGAGAGGGACGCACTCACATGGCTCTGGTTCCCAGAGGCTCTCTCATGTCTAAGGATGTCGTGGGCCGCACTGAGCATCACCACATAGGAGAAATTGTTGCAAAGGCCCAGGAGCCTGGAATGAGCAGGACAGATCTTCACTTACTTTCCTGCCTATGATCTTTTCTTATCTGCGCCCTTCACCAAATCCCATCTTCTTTCAATGTCAGGGTTAGAAATACAGGTTTGGAGATCAGAGACTTGGGTTCACTTCCAAGTTCCCATGGCCCCTTTCAGAAAGCTATCTTTTAATATCCTAGGCCATTTTTCAACCACTGATGCCTGTAGTACAATAAAAATATCCCAGAGTTTGAAATCCAAAAGACCATTGTGGTCCCAAGTCTGCCACTTCCTTTTCAGGTGTCTCAGTCTAACTCATGTGTAAAATGGGAATATAAATTCCTCACCTGACTACCTCCCCAGGGTGCTATAAAGATTAAAATAATGCCCAAATCATTTGTGATCCATGTCTTCACTTACTTTCAACTTCCAAAGTTGTGCTCATTGATAGGAAAGAAATTTGGCCCAGTGTCAAGAGTTTTCATGTGTCCTTTTCACAAACCTGTGAAGTGGCTCYTTCTATTTTACTATTGAAGAAACTGAAGCTCAGAGAAATCAAGTCACTCTTCCAAAGAGTTACATGGTAAGCCTCTTCCAACCCAACCTGCCACCCAAGTCCTCCACAGTTAACTCATTAAGTTAAATGTGTGACACATATAAAAACTCAAATTGAGCAATAACTGTACCATTTATAGGAACTTTYGAAATCAATATCATGCTTTCACAGTTCTTCTTTCTTGAGAAAAGAGATTACCAACAGCATTTGAAAAAAATGCTGAAAATATGGAAGATACATATAACCTCTATTTTAATGCATCTGGGTCAATTTCATTGAAATATTCAAAGAACTAAAAACTTGTGACTTAATGGGGTAAGCTAATACTAGCAGTACGTCCCAAGGCTCAGTATCTGAATGCTTTTGGAAGGTGCATGGATGATCTTGTAAAAAGTTTTAGCAGTGATCCATTTATTTGAACGTGCATTAGCAAAATATTGGTTTTCTATTTGAAGTARTAGCTCAGCTTTCTTTCTTTTTTTTTAATACCTGAATTTTAAAATGTTGAGACTGAGGCTGAATTGGTTGGAGAATATGAAGTGAGTGATCTTACAGATGGTACTGAAAATCTGGCTCATAGGTGAAGATGGTAAGCCAACGAGTGGATTTTCGAAAATTCCGGACAGCTTCCGGACAAACCAGTTAGCTAAGTAAATATTTGAGGATTCAGCTTCTTTGTGCAGTTCAACTTTTCTCCCCCATTTCCTGCTGCTGCATTTTTATTTTAGCTGAGCTCTTAGGCCACTTACCAAAAGCCCACCGCATTCTTCCAATGGGCACTCTGAGGCTCCAACAGAGGGGCTTGGGGCTCAGAGGTGGTCTCCTCCCCTGTGAATTAGAAGAACACATGACCCCTCCCACTCTCAGGGGCAGGACTACCTTGCGAGGGTCTTTCCCCAGACGAAGCCAGCTTCCAAGCCCCTAGGATGTCCACAAGGCTGAGGAAGTCACTCCCGGCGGGGCGGGCCATAAATACTCACTCTCGGAATCCAAAAGGCGCCACCTGGAGCCCTCACAGCCTCCCATGGCATCAAGTTCAGATGCCCCGAAGGGTCCAAAGTCAGCGAGTTCGCTCTGACCGGGTGGCAGAGGGTCTGTGACAGGTGACATTGGTTAAGGCTCTATTGCCACACCTAGCTCCGGCTGCCTGCTGTGTTCGCGCYACAGGATCCATCAGGAGATCCCAAGGTTCCGTCTCACGCCCTCCCACTCCCCACCACGCCCCACCTGTCGGACTCAGTCTCTGTTCCCTCTAAAGCAGGCGGGCGGGGGAGAGCGGGCGCCGAGGCCTGTACCTTTAAGAGCAGCAGAACGTTCCGCACCGAGGAGCCCCCGCAGGTTGGYGGGTCACGTGACATCACCCGCAGGTTCCCCCATCACGTGCTCGGAGGTCCTCCCTACTTCCGGGCCCTCCTCTTGCCTTCGCTTTSGGCCTTTTCAACTTCAGGGCGTGAGAAAGGTAGAATCCAGTAGAGCCTTGGCACCGCTGGTTTTAAACTGGAGAGGGTGGGGGCCAGGGAAAGCCGCGATTATCGGTCTCGAAAGCCGTGGCCGAATTCTGCCAGCACTCGTCATGGCGCGGGCGGCTTCAACCCTTTTCCAGCCGCCCTCGCTTGCCAGGAGCAAATATGGCCACCCCGCCCTCCCCTACCTTACCCCCTGGGAGCCATTGTTTGGAAGCAAAGAGAGCCAAACTCCAGTCACTCATTTCTATCTGATACCCTTACATACTGTTTTAGAAACCTAAAATAAAGATAATAGCCAACTATGAGGATTTCCTGAATTATCTACGGACACTATCCAAGGCCTTAAGAGATACTCTTTCCCCTGTTATCCTAGTATCAAAAATACCACATTAGTATTGAAAAGACCCCCGTTTCCCTGTCCAAGGAGAATCACACGAAACACTGGCTGCAAAAAGCAAGAGGGATTTATTGGGACACAGGCGCCTKCGGGTGCCCAGCAGAACCTCAGCCGGAGCTTTGGTGAACTGGCACACCGGGCTTGGGGATACAGAGATTTTTATAGGGTAAAGGGGCAGTYTTCACKCGGGGGAAGCAATAGGTTTCTTAGTAGTTAATTTTAAACCCAGCATATAGGCTACCTAAAGGGCAAAGTTGTTTTTCACTTTATGTTACTGGAAAAAACATAAAAGCTACATGTTTGCACTCTGGTCCTCTTGTTCCTGCTTATTCAGGCATGCCTTGGGACCTAACTAATTATCTGAAAAACACCTCTGGTGCCTGCGTAGGTTTGTGACATGCCTCGGTGGTTTTGCAACTAGGCCTGAGGTTGTTGGGCTGGGGTCTTTCAGTATTTCAACCCCTGCGTTTACAGATGAGAAAACTGAGTTACCATAAGAAAAAAGTTAACGACTATCACATAACATTAGACCTTGGAGACCCATTTAGCAAGAAATAGAGCGCAGGGGCAGGGGTTGTGGGTCAAGTGGTAGAGTGCTCGCCTAGCACATGTGAGGCACTGGGTTGGATCCTCAGGACCACATAAAAATAAAGTTATTGTATCCACCTAAAACCAAAAAAAAAAAAAAAGAAAAGAAAAAAGAAAGAAAGAAATAAGAGTGCAGAGGCAGAGCGTCATTGGGCAGATCGTTGCTGGATTCCCGCTCCATCAGAGGTCCTTAGATTCTAAGTCCTAAGATTCTGATTCTGTGATCTCACCCAATTGCCCTAGAAAATTAGGAAAGTGGGGCTTGGCAGGGGAGAGGGGGAGGCCACTTCATATAGTCTCAAATAAGGAGTCATTCTCTTACCTTCCTCTAGGTAAAGCAGAATCCTTGCTTTTCTTCATCGTGTCCTTCCCCTGTGAAAAACTCTGTCTTGCAGCTGCCTGTGCCCATCTCTACTAGCTCTTTCCCACCACCAGGCCTTCAGACTGCTGTTTGAAATGTGCCCCTTGCGATGTGCTTCCCAGATCACGCAACCAATGAGAAATGAGGTCCTACTACCCCTGCAGAGCTGTAGAAATTCTGCAGCATTTCCTACAGGGTTCCTGCCCTCAGGGAACTCACAGGAGTGTGGGAGGTAGATGCAAATGAGCACGGTACAAAGTTAGTCAAGTCCTTTTTGCAAGAATAAGCATGGATGAGGGGATGAGTGGAAGAGCCACCAACCAACCCTTTATGCCCTAGGGAAGCATTCATGACTTGGAATTGGGAAGCCAGAGCTCCCACCTGCCCTTTTCACTCCTCCGCTGGGTCCCTGGACAAAACAGGAACTAGAAACCCTGGCTTCCTCTCTCAGAAAGGCTGTGGCTTGGGGCAGACGGAAATGGCTGAGGTGTGAATTCAAGACCTGAGTCACTCCTCTGCAGTTGCCACACGTCCCTTCCCCCATCCCCAATTCTGAGGTCCCTTGCTCCCACTTCTTTCTTTCCGTTCTCACCCTTTGCGCTTTAAAACTCGGAATGTGCACCTGTGACCCACAGGTGACGCACACCCATTTCCCCACCTGGGGTGGAGATTGCTGTGGCCCTGGGGAAGGTGGGCAGGGCCTGGGGATGCGTCAGGGAGAGACAGGGGAAGAGGAAGTGTCTTAGGTCCTGGGGAAGACTGTCTTGTCTTGGTGGGTGGGGACTGCCATTTGTCAGCTTTCTGGACACACAGAAACACACAAGATGGACTTCCTCCGGCTACACCTCCCTGGGCTGCATCAGGCCTTGAGGGGGGCACTGGTGAGAGGGGCAAAGAGATGCCAGAGACTTTCACCCCATTCCCTGTGTCTTCACCTTCCCTCCTCCCTTTGAACCTCTCCTCGGATTAGAGGTTCCTTTCACAGGGCCAGGCAGTTTCCTTGACCAGTTCTTTCTGGGCTTTAATCTCCTACTTCCCACAAGTGCATCCAACACCCTCAGTCTAGGAACCTTCTCATTCCTTCTACAGATCCTGTTCTCCCTGTCTGCCCAGATCCCTAACCCGTCTGCCTTACTGTGGGCTCCTCTGGCCCAGGGCCCCCAGGGAAGGGGCCGGGCCTGGCCTTCCCTGCATGCCTTGACCTTCTCCACTCTTTTCCTCTAGGATTCCTTCAGTGCCTTTTTGTCCTACCTCATAGGAGATGAGGTCCCCACTGTACAGCAGGAGGCACAGGTAGCCAAAGAATTGCAGGAGGTAGCAGCAGGAGAGCCAGAGAAGACTGTAGAGGAGGAAGCCCAGGAGGCCCTGGAAAGCCTTAGAGACCGCCGGAGCCAGGGGTTTGGGAAGCCAGGAGAGCCTGGAGAGGCTGGGAGATGCCCAGAGGGAAGCTCTGCTGCAGAACAGACCTGGGGCTGGGGAAAAGGTAGCTCCCAGGGCTCTCAAGCAGATAGGCAGGACACTGAGACCCGGGAGGCAGCCAGGGCTTCCGGGGACCAGGAGCCAAGTACCCCCCTGGAGGCTAGGAAGAAGTCTGAGGCAGGGTCCAGGGCTCAGCAAGACAGGAGCGGTCACTCCAAGGAAGGACAGGAGCCTGGTGAGCAGGAAGTGAGCAGAGGGGAGACAACGAGAAACTGGGAACATGAGGAGGAAGAGGTCAGGGTGACAGAGCCAGGGATGGCCAGGGGGGTGGAGTCAGAGTGGACCTGGCACCGAGAGCCTGAGGTGAAGGCGGGCAGTAGCGGGCAGAAGGTAGCAGGGGACAGCGGGGAGACAGAGCAAGTGGTTTCCGAGGCAGCTGCAGAAACTGAAAACTTTGAGGTCAGAGGGCCTGAGAGGGAAGAAGAGGGGGTGGTAGTGGTGAGGAATGGCCAAAGCATAGGGACACAGGGGACAGGGGTAGAGTCTGAGGACTGGGCAGCCTTGGGCAGAGAAGAGGCCAGAATAACCTCCTCAGACAGGGAGCAGGTCGCCGCAGCTTTAGCCAGGGAAGAGTCTGACCTCCCAGGAGTCAGGGAGACCGAATATGGGCCAGTCCCAGGAGAAAGGATCCCGGAAGTTACTGGGATCAAGATTCAAGAAGAGGAGAAGGGAGAGACTGAAGTGAAGCTTTTCCCCCAAGAGACCCAGGTCCTGGGCACTGAGGCAGTTGAGGGCCAGACAGCAGGGAGGGAGGCAGAAGGCCTCGAGTCAGAGGAGGAGGCAGGGGAGGGCTTTGAGGGGGACATCGATCAGCATGGGAAAGAGGCCGAGGGGAGGCAAGATGAGCAGATCAGGGCTGATGGAGCTCTTCCAGAGGAGGAGGAGGTACAAGCAAAGGAGGACTGGGAGGAGGAAGGGAGTTGCCTGGTCACAGAGGCTAAGCTGGCCCTGGACAAAGAGGCTCGAAGTGATGATGATGACTTGGAGGCAGCCCCAGAGGTCAGGCCTGGTGAAGAGTTTGTTGAGGAGAGAAGTAAGGAGGCTCAGAGGAGCCAAGAAACATTGGAGGAGGAGTGGGATGACCTCAAATTCAAGGTCACCAAAGGCCAGGAGCCTGAGCTGATGGGAGGTGTCTTGACCCCAACAGAGCAACCTCAGGAAGGACAGGGGGTTCAGGAAGAACTAGGGAGAGTTTCAGACCTGAGGACAGAGGAGATGGAGGGGAGGCTGGAGGAACATTCCAGGCACACGGGGTCTATAGATCCTGAGGTCCCTGAGGGAGAAGACTGGGAAAACCAGAGGAGAAGGGACAGGGAAAGTAGTAACACCCAGGAGGAAAAAACAGATACTGAAGATGAGGAGGAGGAGGAGGCTACAGGAGGTCAGGCACTGGAGGCCAAGGCCAAAGGAGGCTGGGAGTCTGACTTGTCAGAGATCCAAGGATGTGCAGCACAGGAGGGGGAGGGCTTTGTAGCAGAAAACCAGGAGCTGCAGAAAATTCAAGGGGAAGAGGCAGAGGAAGACCAGTCACCAGGAGAAACAGAGGCCAGAGAAACTGAGGATAGCGAAGTGGAGGCCTCAGGACCATCGGAGGCAGACGTCACATCCAGGGGAGGCTGGAGGCTGGAGGAGGCAGCTCTGGGCCTCCAGAACCAGGAGGAGGCACAGACCAGTGCTTTGGCTCCTGAGATTGTGGAGGATGAGGCAGTCCTGGTTGTGAGGGCTGCTGGGGCTGAGGAAGGGCCAGAATTCCAGGAGTCTGGGGCAGTTTGGGTGGGGGAGTATGGGAGAGGCTGGAACTCAGAAGAGAGAGAGGAGGCTGAGGGAGAGGCAGAGCTGGTGGAGGCTGCAGAGGGAGGGAACCGAGGTGGGCAGGATTTGGGCCTAGAAGGCTCAGCAGGGGAGGAGGTGACTGGCAGAGATGGTGAAGCAGAGGCTTTTGAGGCCAGGGCTGGAGATGAGGCAGGGGTGGGGGGACCTGCCATGGCAGAAGGAAGTGGTGGGATGGAGGGCGTTACCTCAGGCTCCCAGGCAGCAAGAGCAGAGAGCGCTGAAGCCAAAGTGGAGGCCGAGGGGCTCCTGGGAGAGCAGCTGTTGGAAGAGGCTGGGGGCTGGCAAGCCAGAGAGCAGGGGACAGACAGTGAGGGGCAGTGTGGGGACCACCACCCTGAGGGAGAAGGACAAAGGCTGCCGCCTGTGGAGGACTCTGGGACTGGAGGCCAGAGGTCAGAGGCCAAGGAGACTGATCCAGAAGGCCTGGAGGATGTTCAAGGCCAGGAGGTGCAGCTGACACAGCAGGGCCTTGTGGAGGTCCTGCCTGGGCCCTCGGACACTGCTGAGGCTGCAGAAAGTGCCAGAGGGGACACTCACAGCAGCTGGTGTGAGGTGAGGGCTCCAGTGAGATCCAGGGGGGACAAGCCCCATCTCTAGAAGCCAGCCCACTGAACTGTCCCCCTGCTCCCTTGCAGGCCTTGCTTCCTGGGCCCCTCCTGGATGTCTCTGCCCCGAGGAGCCGCGCCCTCCTCTCCCGAAGCTCCTCACAGCGTCGCTCTCGGCCCTCTTTCCGGCGAGTCCAGGCCTCCGAGGAGCCGGAGGACCCTCCTAGCCCTCAGCCCGAGGAGGGACTGTCAGCCCCCGAGCAGAGGCCACTCCAGCTGGAGGAGGCCCCAGAGCCAAGCCCCCCGAGACCTGAAGGGACCCCAGTGCCAGCCAGGAGAAAGACTTTGGGACTCGGGTAGGCACAGGGGCACTGGGCTGGGATAGGGTGGAGGCTGTGGGCCTCTGAGGACCAGCTTCCATGCACCTGTCTTCCACCTCCAGGTTTGGCCTGGCACACCCGGGCATGATGCAGGAGCTACAAGCCCGCCTGGGTCGGCCGAAGCCCCAGTGATTGAGACCTGACCCGGCTGAGCCGGACTGTGAGAGTCACGGGGCTCCCCGGGGACCTGCTCACCCCTGATTCTCTCTGCCACCTGGATGCATTCTTCCCACCCTCTGGGCCTGGGTTTCTGGGTGTGTCCTTCATGGAGTGAACATCACTAGACATCTGTGAAGACCATGAACTTGAAGAATCTGACTCTAGACCTCCCGTGCCACTGGGACTGCCTCTCGTGAGTGCCTGTCCTGGTTACCTCCCCAACCTGTCTCAGCTACCCAGAAGACTGCGGGGAGAATGGGGGGAATTGGAGACTTTTCCCACAGCCTTCCCTCTCTGGCCCCTGCAGCCCTCAACCATACCTGGACCCCTCAGAGAACCATATAGGAGGGGAAGCCCACCCACGGGAAAGAGGTCTGAAGGGCCTCGGGGACACCACTTTGGTCTCCAGGTCAGCTGCCTTGAGTTTCCAAACTGATAGTTCAACTTCGGAACTCTGCTGGTTGCTATGGCAACTGCCAATTGAGCAGGTCACAGTGGGGGAAGGTGGACCAGGACACCTGGAAAACGTAGGAGCAGAGAGGGGTTCTGGGTAACCAGAGGCCACCAGCTCCATTCCAGGTCCTTTGAGTGTCGGATGTCCCTTCTGTGAAAAGATCTTGAAGCAAAGAGAGAGTGAGAGGGCTTTATTAGGCACGCAATGTGGCAGCCTGGCCCAAAGATGAAACAATAAATAAACTGTCATCTCCCTAGGTAATAAATAAATATCTAAGAAATAAATATTTGGCAAGGACTGGAGGGGCTTTAAGTTATTGGGCAGGGTCTGAAGCTAGTCCTGAAGTCCTAAAGAGTGAGGGAAAGGGGCTAAAAGATCATTCCATCCTGTCCGGGATCTGGGTGTTGAGAGCCCCAAGTCAGGCCTGGGTGCCCGGCCTTGGACAGCAACAGCAAATCCCGCACAGCCCGGGACAAGGCAAGCTCCAGGGAGTGCAGCAGCTGGTAGGTGTAGAGCAGCTGGGGCCAGGACACCTGGGCCGACGACGCTGGTGCAGAGTCCCCTGGAGCCCCTGGGAGCAGACCCTTCCCCTCCTCCTCCTCCTCCTCTTCCTCCTGGGGCAGGTTGAATCCTGCAGCCAGCACCTAGGAAGACAGATCCGCAGCTCAGACAATGGGCAGGCAGAGAACCTGAGCAAATCTTCATTCCTTATATGAGCCCAGTGGCTCCTGATGACATCAGGCCCCTGGATAACCCCCGCTTCAGATCTTCCATATCGTCATCTCACGTGTCTTAACCTGATTTTTTGATCTTAAGAAGATGGAATTTTGCGGGCTGGGGTTGTGGCTCAGTGGTAGAGTGCTCACCTTGCATGCATGAGGCCCTGGGTTCGATCCTCAGCCCCCACATGAAAATAAAATAAAGATATTGTCGAAATATGATATGTCAAGAGCTTTGTAATGTTTTGAATAACTAATAATAAAAAAAAATAAATATAAATAAATAAACATTGATGTGGCTGTGAAAAAAAATTATATCCACCTACAACTAACTAACTAAATAAATAAATAGATAGATAGATAGATATAAAAGAAGATAGAAGTTTGGAGCAAGAGGATGCTCACAGAGCTGGGTTGCCCTGGGGATTGGGGTTCTGGAAGTTCCTCCCTGCCATTTTGGATTGTCTCAGGATCAGAAATGGTCAGAGGTAGGGTGTAGCCAGTTTATCTGCTGCTTGTGTTTCCATTCCTTTTTTTTTTAAATTTTTTTAGGTGTCAATGGACTTTTATTTTATTTATATGTGGTGCTGAGAATTGAACCCAGTGACTCACACACGCTAGGCAAGCACCCTACCACTGAGCCATAAGCCCAGCCCTCCATTTCCTTTTTATTAAGACTGAAATTTCTATTGCTCTTAGAAATGGTCGGGAGGATCTGGGTGATGTCAGAGAACCACGGGGAGAAGGGCACTGACCTCACTGCAGGGCCTGCCGATGGCAGTCTGTCCTGGGTACGCCAGCGCCCTTATCTCACTAAAGACCAACCCCCAAAAGAAAGCAGGGACTTGGGTGGCAGAGCCAGGACCCTGTGTAGGACCCTGTGTGGCTACACCCTCCTGCACATTCTCGTATACTTGCTCAGAGGAGCACCTCCCTCCAGACTCACCCAACCTGAGGGCAGGGGGTGTTCTGTAAAGGGGATCAGTGAACCTCAGTTTTGTGCATTGGTCAAAGAGGGTGCGCGTGGGCACTCTACCTGGAAGCGGAAATGCCACTGCAGGTCCCGGAGATCTAGCCGCAGGGCCCACAACTGCATTCTCTCTGAGCTGGTCCAGCCGCCCTGCCTCCCCAGGCCTCCCAGCAGGGCATGGAAGGGCTGAAGCATCATGGAGAGGAAGCAGAGTCGCTCTGGGTCCTGTTGAAGGGGAGGGGCAAGGGTAGGTCAAGCATGACCCTACCCAACCCCGGATCAAGCCCAGGCTCATTCCCGCTCCAGTCTCCTGTTTCTATTGTCAGCCTCATCTCCATCCCCATTTCCTTCCTGTGCTCATCAGACTTCCCACCTCCATTGTCTTTGACCTCTATCCCAAATCCTTTCCTGTCCCATGCCCCAACTCCTCTCTCACCCCGTCCCATCCCCATTACTGTTCCTCTGCCACTCCACTCGGCTCTCCCATCGTCCCTTCCTGTCTCCTGTGCACTCCTTTTCTTTCTGTTTCCAACCTCTTTCCCACCCTCATTCCCATTCCTGGTCCCAGGTGGGTCCTTCCTCCATATGCATTCTCACCGTCTCCCCATCTCATCTCTAACTCCCATTCCACCAGCCATCTCCATCCCTTCTCCATCCTCCGCCTGATTTTTGCCCTCATCCCCAACCTTTCTTCTCATCCCTAAACAACCTTTCTTCTCTTTCCATCCAACACCAACTCCATCCCACTCATTCCCAATCCACTCCATTCCCATGCCCGGCTTCACTCTTTTCCCTCTTCCTAATCCTTATTTCCAAATCTCTGCATATCTTTTTTTAAAATTTTTTTTAGTTATTGATAGACCTTTATTTTATTTATTTATATGTGGTGCTGAGAACCGAACCCAGTGCCTCACACATGCTAGGCAAGTGCACTACCACTGAGCTACAACCCGAGCCCTCTGCTTCATCTTTGTATCCAACCACACACACTCAATCTCATCCAGATTCTGTCCCCAAATCAATCCCCAACTTGTCTCTATGCTGCCCTGTCTATTGCCAGCTTCCTGGCCCCGCCCCACCAGCCCCCTTCACTCACGGACAGGTGGCGCCAGGCCTGGAAGGTCAAGGAAACGTTGGGGAGCTGCTCTCCCAGGGGCAGCAGGTCCAGCCTCACTCCTGGCAGCCGAGATTCAGCCTGAAGGGTGAAATCTGTTAGTGGTGGCCCATGGGGAATTGACGGTCTCCTCATCCCTATAGCCAGCTGCATTAGGGAAAACTCACAAAGCGATGAGCCTGGCCCCGGACCTCGGAGAGCAGCTTCTTGGCAAGATGCAGGCTGACCGTGAACTCCCTGCGCAGCTCCTGCAGGCTCACAGGGGGGCTCCCTGGGGGCCTTGGGAATCCCCAGACACCAGCTTGCACCAGGAGCAAGGAGAGCAGTAACAGGCTGAGCCCTGGAGAGACGGGTGGGGAGCAAGATGTGGGCTTGGGAAGAACTCAGAGAAGGAAGGGAATGTGACTTTTCTGAGCTTGTGCACTGTGCAAGCCCCAGTGCAAACTTTCTCAGGTATCTTCACACGGCCCCTCCACAGCATGATGGGGACCATTGAGGCCACCATAAGAAGTCTGCACAAAGTGCTCATTTTTGTAAGCAGACCCAAGGCTGGATCTTGTCTCCCTACTCACTTCCCTGGCCAAGTGCCTTTTCTGAGTGGCACAACTGGTTGCTGTTAATTCTCTCCATTTTGCAGAGGAGAATGGGCTCAATGAAGGGGACTGGCCCAAGTTCAGATAGCAGAGATGGGGGTGGGGAGCCAGGGCTGGATTCCAGATCTGTCCAAATATACAGTCCACTTGCTTTCCCCAGGGACCTCAGAGGAGGCAGCTACCTGCCCAGGAGTGGGGACTGTCTGTTCTGCCAAGGATTCCTTGGGCTCAGCCAGGCGGCTCTGATGCCTGGAACTGGCTACTAGGGGCCCCAGGGATGGCATGACCTGTGGTTCTATCCCATGTGGTAAGGCCTCCGCCAAGGCGGTGGGTCATTCTGCAGCAGAATCCACCTGGGGCAAGTCTATGGCATGAGAGTAGGAAGGGCGGGGGTGCTGGGAAGGGAGGGAGGGGGCTTGGCATGGGAGGGGGGCACTCTGTTTCTCATCCTGGTCTTCCTTTGAGCAAGCTGTCTCTTCTCTATGCCTCAGGCCCCCATCTGCAAAGTGGGGGTCAGACCAGCGGGCATCAGAGGGTGCTTCAAGCCCTATGTTTTCCTGGAAAGAGGGAAGGGGGCCACAGGATGGGTGCCTGGGGCAGAGGGCAGTGTTCAGTGGTTTCTCCCTCCGGTGAGGAAATCTAGCCATCATGAAGTTACACAATTGCCATCGAAACTCAAACTAAAACCCAACCCCAGTCCATCCCCACTCTTGCTGCTCTCCGGGTCCCTTTCCTGTCCAAGGATAATCTCTAATCCCTGCACACTGCTTCTCAAAGTGACTCTCAGCAAAGGGTAAGAGGAGTTTCTGGGCCACCCACTTCCCCCCATGGACTTCCAGAGGATGTGGGCCACGCCTAAGATCTCTGGTGTTCTAGTTCCCTGGCTTGGGGGCCACTCTGACCCTCTGGCATCCTGGAGACCCAAGGCAGAAGAGGCTTCTTCCTAGCTCTATGTTGGGGGCCCAGGCCCTTGTGGTATTGCCTATCTGGATTGATTTGTGTCACCTGAACTTTACTCCTCTTCCTGCCTGAACTCTAGAGTCCCCAGAGGCTCCATACCCTTGTATCTAGTCCTGGGTTCTTGGCTCTGGCCTTTCAAGGCTTGCTCCTCACCCTCAAGCCC